AGGTCCGCGTGCCAAGAGGTTCTGCGCCGCGCGCCCCTGGCATCTGGGTTCCCAGGGGGAGGCGCCACGAGTGGGGCCAAGGCCCTGCTGCTTTCTCCCCCAGAATCTCACGGGCAAGCTAACCAACGCCTCCTCGAGAGTCCATCGGACCCCATCACGGGGCTGGCTTGGGGCGGGGGAGGAAGCCCCGTCCGCCGGGGCTGCCCGGGCGCATCCGCGGGCGCTGCACAGCAATGGCCCCCCACCCGTGGCCAGCAGACGGTGCTCCGCACGGTCTTGCTCTCTGCCTCCTCCTTCCACAGTGGAGAAGTCTCCAGGTTGCTCAGTTTGGGGCGGGGGAGGCACTGTTTATTTAGAAGGGAGAGGGAGACCACGCGCGCAGTCCGCCGGCTCCCCCTCCCGCCTGCCCCCTCGGGGCTTCGGTGGGGTTTCCAGGGGAGATGCCCGGGCGTCTCAGCCTGATCTCGGATTATGGGGTCTCGTTGTTCACATCTGGTCGTGTGCTTTGACGTCTTGAGATGACAGAAAGTGTGTATTCATAAAGCAAGTGGATGGAGCATTAAAATGGTAAGACCAGGCCGCGCCTGCGGAAACTGTGTCCAGCCTGGGTGTGTGTTGCCCGCTCGGTACCCAGGGTGGGGGCGCAGGCGTGCCTGCTCTCCCGCCTGGTTTTACATAGGCGAGTTTAGGTTAAGTAAAGATGATGATTCATCCTGGCAGGGCAGATCTCACCTCAGAGTGAATTTACCGTGATTGCCACAATTAGCATGAATGTATTGACTTTTCCTTGTAAAACTGGCGCCCCATCGCCGTGGGCCACCGGGAGCGACCTTGTACGGGAACGTGAGTCCTGCCCAGTGGTCACTACGCCCCGCCTTCTCGGTCTATGAGGGAGCGCCCGTCCCTCATGGAGAGACAGAGCCGGGGGGCTGCCGGAAGCCCTCGTGGCCCATCTGAAGGCCGTGCTGAGGTGGCGCCTTAGACGGCACATGGCAAAGCCGCTGGAGTGCAGTGACGTCCTCAGAGTTGAGGTGGGGGTGCGTCGGGGTGGGTGGTGGGGAGCTTGAGGGGGCTCCTCCATTTAGATTTTTCAGAGGAATGGATGTTTTGGAGTTTATCTGAGTCCTGGTTGGGCTGGAATGAAGGAAGGGTCTGGACTACATTGTGGAAGCCGCTGGTTAAGGTGATTTGGAGACTGCAAGCGGCCTCACTTTTCGCCACTGAAAAATTTTCCTTGAGGTTTTTGTGTCTGTATCATGATTATAGGTTGGTGTTCAACTTCCTTTTCCTTGTTTCCCCTGACTTATTCTCTGATTTGCATAATTAGTGTGTGTGGCTGCTTATGGTACATCCCAGCCACTCTGTATTTCAGGATGTAGAGCTGACCTTTAAGTCTTAACCTGCAATCCAGCACTCGATTTCATTCTGTTGTGTGATTTCTGTTGTTTTCCTCTGTGCTGGTGTTTTCTTCCTAACCAGACTTGGATTCCACTAGGACAGGAAATCTTCCATATAAACTTTTTGTCCTTGAGAGTAGAGTAAAAAAAGAAAGATGGAAAAAGGGTCTCAAGTTTGGGTATTTGAAGTTATCTCCGTAAGAGCTGAGACATATATACAATTAGTGGATCACACCACACATTAATAGATTTATTTTGGTTCAAAGCAATACATTGTTAAATAAGCCTTTACACTGATAAGTTTTGTAGGGTAAATAAGCTTGATAAATTAAATAAACCAATACATTGAAAATAAGCCTTTATTTTGTCTGCCTGTTTTCACATGTCTTCATCTGTTAACACTGCAATCCCTGTCCACTCCTGCCTGCCCAGCCCCACAGCGTGGTAGGGCTCACGGAGCTTGATTGGCACACCTCTGTCTTATTAACTTGGAGGCACTGAACAAGATAGGGAATAGTTTTTGACTGAAATAAAGAGTTTTGATAGGAAAAACTCTGGTATCTCCTGGGTCTTGACTGAAGCTCAGAGCGATTCCTGAGGAAGATCAGACATATCCAGTGACTACTGATGGTTAACTGATAAGGTTCTCTTACAGCCACACCTTGTCACCTCTGAGTGTCAGAGATACTTACGAGTAATGTTTTTACATACATGTTTAGTAGCAAGCAGGTAAATTCCAGGTGTTTATAATTGAACTGAAACTTTTATGCAGATATTTAAAGTGATGCACTTGCTAGGTGAAATGGTAATATTTAAAGCTATTTGGTATTTTAATTTGACAGTTGTTTTATATATAGACCAAAAGGAAAGAAGATCTTTTTGTGCAGGAAGGTAGTGTGAGGCAAATATTATTTCTTAATATACTTTAATGAATGATTGCTTGCAGCTGCCTATTGGGGCAACCCCTTGAATTCCCCCTGGGAAGGATGCTCCCAGTGTACATAAAAAAATGTCTCAGATACATTTCACAAATCACATGTATGTGACAGCAGAAAATATCTCAGTACAAGAGGAGACTTGTGAGCGGACGGAGCCCCTGTCCTAACACTTGGCAGTTTTAGAACAAGTTAGAACCATTGACTATCTCTTAGCCATTATTACAGCTATTAGCTATTGGCCTACACCTGCTTCCTTGACTTTGCTGTTGAATTATTAATCATACTAAAAATTGGAAAAAAATGAAAATTCAGCCCTCCTCAAAATAGCAATTAGAAACTTAAGGTATAATGAATGCCTGGCATCCTGGCTAATTAATAATGACATATATAATACTATAATTTTAAGGCAGGAGTGACCCTAGTGTGATCCTTTTTAATTTTTGTGGGTAATCATTACAGAAGAAGAAAATTTCACTACAAATTTTCTCTGCATCACTGACCCACACCACACTTATGTAACCTGACAATTGTTAATATCAAATCATTTAGGGAAAATTCCATTATTGTACTCACAGAATTTTTAAAAAGGTTTGTTATTCTCTTCACTTTCAAATTAAAGGCATCTCATAAAAATATTAGCTTTAGAGTTATGACTAGCACTGTTATATGTTTTCCTTATTCTATTCTTATATTCACACATAAAACATTTTGGGAAATTGAAATTGCTAAATGTGTTGCAGTTCCAAAGCAGTGGTAAAAGAAATTGATTTCCTTGGTTTTACTCAATTTTCCTTACCTGTAAATACATCAGTGCAGCCCTATTATGATTATTTAAGCAGACTGTGGAGAAATTACATAGATCCTTCCAAATATATTTGCATGAAAAGCACATGTTGGTCAGAAATGAATGCAAAGCTATAACTCCCTAGGCAAACTGATAGGGAAAATTTACTTCTATTGAATATAAAAATTAAATTCTATAAGCCATGGTAGCATGTCAAAATGAAAATTCTGCATCATTCACAAAGTAACAAAGTGATTTCTACATTTTAGTTTGTGTCACAACAATATTGTGTTATATCATCTTGAAGAGCTTGTGGAGTAAGTTGAGGTTTTGAAAACACTCATATTGAGTTGCTTTAATAGGAAAAAATATATAGGCACAGGTTTGACAAGAGGCTATAGAGCAACGATTCCTGCTTATATTGTATTTGGTAGACTACGACAGCTTTTCATGACATATGAGTCTAGAATGTCCTGAATTTAAATTGCCTCTCTCTGGAACCACTGATTGATTACAGAGTCAGTTTTGCTCTTGAATTCCCAATCAGGTAGGATGTTCTCTGACTTGGAGAGGCTCTCTTTGGGAATTGGATATGAAGTCTTTGGTCTTAGAATTCAGAACCGGGTTTGTGTTAGCTATTCATCTAAATGTCTCCAAAACCTGTTTCAGTGTCATTTCTACTTTGGGGGAAGAAGCACATATTGGTGTGCAGAGTTCTCTGGTTTAATCTCATACTTAAAAAATTTCTGCCGGAAAAAAAAAGGCACTTGCAATACCCATAGGGTACAGTAGGTGGCAGTAAAAAGGCTTGTCAGGAAGTTTTTGTAAATCGTACATACTCTGAAGGTAGTGGAAGTGGATGATCTTTTCTTACAGTCTAGTGCAGCTTGTCATGAGCTTGTTAGTAGGCTGGGGGATAAATTTCTTTCCTTTTTTAAAAAAATTAAATGAAACAGAACAGAATAGAAAACATCAGAATGATTGTTCTTAGTGAGGGTTAAGTGGTTTTAAAAAAAAAAACAAACTAGAGATATAAACCTTTCACAACTTTGTCATAATTCACTTTCTAGTAATATATGTACTGGGGACAAGTTTCAAAATACTGGGAAAGCTAGATGCTGGGTGTCTCCCAGGCAGGAGTAGAGATGTGGTCACTCTGGGGCTGATGTGTTCCTGGGGCTTTCAGCAGTATGGACCAGACACCGCAGTATCGTCTAACCCCAGTTTTATTTAGAGCCATCTCCTTTTG